GCGGGCCCGCGACGTCCAGCAGGCGACCTCACGTCTGCTCGAGATGGCGCGCATGCACGCGCAGCAGCTCAGGGATCTGGCGGCGTCGGAGTGGGCGTGGCCTCTTGGGGCCGTCTTGGGGCCCTCTTGGGCCGTCATGGGGTCCTCTTGGGGACCTCTTGGGCGATCTTGGGGGCCTATTGGGCCGTCTGGGGCCGTCGGAATGCCGAGAAGATGGTTGTGCGTCGCACGTGATTGCTTTGAGGTTCTTTAGATGTTGCAGCCCTCCAGCAGCCCCCCATATCGCTGCTGGGGCTCAAGCTTTTCAGCGGGTATGCCTCAGCATCCCGACCCTGTCGTTCCTGCTCGCGCCCGCTCACGCCGCGGGGAAGCGGTGCGCGGAGGCCGCGAGCATCGCAGCGGCGAAGCCGCACCTGTGACCGCCTCGTTTGGTACATCGCGCGCGCCGTGATCAAGTCGATGGTCAGCTCAGAGAAGCGAAGCGATGGTACTCCAGATTTCGTAATAAAGGGAGGGGGTCTCATTTCGGGGGGGGTCTCTTCCAGGCTATCTTGGAGGGCCTGGGGGGGTCTGGGGACGATGTTTTGGAGGGTTCTCCCACGGGGGAGGTCTGAAACTTCTCGTCTGGGAGGGTCCAGACCCCCTCCCTTTTATTACAAAATCTGGAGTACACCAGGATGTAGTTCTCGATCGCGGGCGACATCTCGGTTCCGACGGCGTCGGGAGCATCGGACACGGCGACGGCGAGGACGCTGAGCAAGCTACAAGATGGAGCAGGCCATCATCAAGTTGGCTCAGATAGAAGGGGGGAAGCTCAAGCTCGGCACCGCTCCTCAGGGGCATCTGGAGAGCTTGGCGCAGAAGCTAATCGACGGTACCAAGACTGGCGGGGGCAAGGGCAAGCGCGGCAAGTAGACGGAGTAGACAGCTCGCCAGCACCATGGGAGATCAAGAGAGCAGCTCTATTCGCGCGGATCCAGGCGCGAGAACTGGCAGCTCAACACCATCATCACTGAGCGGGGGCACCACCTCCATATGTGTTTCTCTTTTCGCTGCTCATCTCCGAGGGCACACGGTGTACTGGAGATACGATGGCGCTGGAACTCTTTCTCAGACGGATGGTGTTCAGGCTTCTCAGACGCTGCCTCTCGTCTGTTGCGGACTGTTGTGGTCGCAGAGCTTGGACGCTTACCCTCACGCGTCCATCTCATGTGCGACGTATCTTCACGTGATGCCCCGACTCACTACATGTGTGCTATGTTTGATCCCAGTGTGCCTCGTTGGAGTGTGTCCTCGTTGGACAGTGTTTGGTCAGTGTGCAAGCGCATCGCAGGCTCGGAGTGCATCTCGGTGTGCAAGTGCATCGCAGGCTCACGTGTCCATCTCGGTGTGCAAGTGCATCGCGGGCTCGGAGTATGCCCTCGTTGGCCAGTGTTTGGTCGGTGCTTGGTCTGATTCTCACCACCCTGCGGAGGCCCGCCGCCCGCCCCCGGCCGCGGCCGCCGCGCCTTCCCCCCCTCTCAGGTTCGGCCCGGCCCTCCCCCTCGAGCGCCCCCTGCGCACCGCGCGCCCCCGCGGGGGCACCGTGCTCCGCGACATCGAAGGGGCCCTGGGACACACAAACAAACACACACACACAAATAAAAAGGACTCCCCATGCTTGTCCCCATATGTTCTGTGTTTTTTTGTCTTCCCCCCTCCCCCACTTCCCATCGTTTCCCATATGTTTCCTGGGGGTCGTCGATTCATTGTGTCTGTGTGCTTTTCTCCCTCCTGAGACATGCACTCGCACTTCCCCCCCACTTCCCGCAGTTTCCCCCCACTTCCCATAGTTTCTGTGTTCTTGCCTTCCCCCCCACTTCCCGTAGTTTCCCATATGTTCCTGGGGATCGTCGATTCATTGTGTCTGTGTGCTTTTCTCCCTCCTGAGACATGCACTTTGCGCCCGCGGAGGCCTCCGCGGAGACCGCGGCCTCTCGCCCCCGTGGCCGGGGCCCCGCCGCCGCCGCCGCCCTCGGGCCGCGCCCTGCACTTTCGGGGAGCCAGCGCTCCCCTCCGCCGCGCGCCCCCGCCCTCCTCCCGCTGTGGCCTCCCCCCTCGCCCCCCTCGCGTCCCGCCGCTCTGCTGGAGTGCTGGCTCCTCCTCGGGGCGGGGCGGGTGCCTCGGTGGCCCGCCCGCCGCCTGCAGCGCCTGGCGGGCTCGGCACTTATGGGGCCCGAGGGGCCCCCACCCTCAGCCTCCGAGGGGCCTCACGATTTGCGGCTGCATACGTACCCCCCTGTGCGGCAGGCTGTACGATGCGCACTGCTCACGGCCTCATCGCACGTGTTCGAGGATCGTTCGAGGTAGGGCTCTGCAGGCACGTGTGCACGCGTGGGCAGAGATCGGCACAAACCACGCGCAATGCCGAATAGTAGTATCATTGTTATTACTATGATTTATATTATCAGTGTTATTAATATGATTTTTGTTACTATTATTATTACTATTAATATTATTATTATTATTATTCCTCCTCCTCCTCTTGCTGACGGCGGGTGCCGGGATAACGCTCCCCAGCGCCGGAAGTCGTATCCTTTTGCCGAAAGGGGAGGGGCTTCATTACTTCTCGAGGTTATCTGCACTTACGGCACCAGAGAGATGCTTCGCATAGCGTCGCCTTGCTCACTTCAGTACGCCTCTTAGATGGATCGCTCCCCGCAGGCTGCCCCCCGCCTACTGCGGTACACTTCTCACGCGGATCGTGCCCGACAGGAAGCCCCACCGACGGCTCCAGAGACAGGGCTCGCATAGCGCCCCTCCCGCCCATTGCGCCACACCTCTCACGCGGATGGTGCCCCACAGGGAGCACCACCCACAGCCTCAGAGACAAGGTTCGCACATCGTCCCCCGACGATTTCGGCACCCAGCTGAGGCGAATCGTGCCCGAGAAGGAGCTCCACCTATGGCACCGTTTGTCAAATCGTATGGTGGCCTTGCGCCCATGTCGGCATATGCCTCACACGGGTCGTGCACCGCAGGGAGCTCCACTTGCGGCCTCAATGGGCGTGTTCGAGCGGGGGCACTCGGATTATTCGGCACCCCCTTCACGCAGATCGTACTCCACACGGATTTCCGCATATGAAGAGAGGGCCGCACCCTGCGCCACACTTGACTGTTTATGGTTGGGTCATTCGCCAGCTAACTATTTGATTATCTACTGGCCTTCGGCCCATCCTGCTGCCGTGCCCGGGTTGGAATCAAAGGCTTATTGAATACGTGTTAAAGGTCACTTGGCATGCTTCTCGGGCATTTCCTGGAACCAATCTTGAAGCCTCTTGGGGCCCCTTGGGTGCCGTTTGGGGGCCGTTTGGGGGCCTCTTCTGAAGCTCTTGAGGGCCTCTTGGGGGCCTGCTGGCGGTCTCGGGGTCCACTTCGGGCGCAGGACTCGAAATCTCATTTAAAGATCCCCCTCTTGGGCCGACTTGGGCGCCTCTTGGACTGTCGTGGGGCTCCGTTTGGGGGCCTCTTGGGCCGTCTTGGGGCGATCTTCGGTCGAGGACGCTGATAAGGCCCGAAAAACGAATACGCTAGAATGTGTATTTTTCTTCGGGGATAAGGCGATTTGGGCGTCCTGGGAACCTCTCGGGGAGCATATTAGCCTTCTTCTTGGACCGTCGTCGGGGCCTCTTGGGCAGTTCTGGAAACGCTCGAGCCGCCCCCGGGCCCCATTGCACCGCTGTTGTCGCGCACTTGCGCCCCCAGGAGTCAGCTGTCCTGGACGGCCAAGGGAAGACTGGGGAGGCCGCGGAGGGGGGGGGAATGCCCGAAGAGGTGGGAGGGGACGAGGAGGGTGTTCGGGCCCGGGGCCCAGGCCCCTGGTACCCTGGTATATCATATACAATCAAACGTGTGTTAAGGACGGGTGGTAAGGACGCAAGACATTTGGAGGCCGATGCTTGGATTTTTGTACGACGCGCGACCAATGAAAACGGCAGAGGACGGGCCGCAGAGGAAAGGCAGAAAGGGCACCGTAGATGAAGGCGCGCATCCTTACTACGCGCGTTGAGTGTACCACAGAAGTGTAAGAACAGACAGACAAACAAACAAACAAACAAATAACAGCCATATGACAACAACGACAACAACAGCAACAACAACAACAACAAAAACAAAAACAACAACGACAACGACAACGACAATAACAACAACAACAACAACAACAACAACAACAACAGCCACAACCACAACCACAACCACAACCACAACAACAACAACAACAACAACAACAACAACAACAACAACAACAACTGCAGCAGCAGCAACAGCAACAACAACAACAACGACAACGACAACACCGACGACGACGACGACGACGACTACAATAACAACAACAACAACAACAACAACAACAACAACAACAACAACAACAACAACAACAACAATAACAACAACAACAACCACAACAACAACAACGACAACAACAGCAACAGCAACAGCAACAATAACAACAACAACAACAACAACAACAACAACAACAACAACAACAGCAGCATCAACAACAACCACAACAACAACCACAACAGCAACAGCAACAACAACAGCAACAACAACAACAACAACAAAACGAAGAGGTCCAGGCAGGCTCTGACATGTGTTTCCCTGCAAGGCGAACAGCAGTGCCGAAAGCGCCGACCCGTCGGCTGCCGAAGACGAAGAAGAAGTCCTTGCCGACGTTTTCGTGCTTTTGAAAGATTTTGGACCCCCGAGGACTGGACATGCTTAAGCATCCAGGGACCTCCGCCGAGGAGTGCGCGAGGTGCTGGGCTCTCCTGCATACAGCCGCGTTCACTCACTGAGGCATTATCCTGTCATCCTTACTGTCACCTCCTCCCTGCCACCCACTCCCCCTTCCCTTCGTCCTCCACCCCCATCCTCCTCCTCGAACGTGAAGAGGACCAACGCACTCCATCAGACCGTCCCTTCGCAACGGGTAGCCAGTGGGAGCAGTCAAGCCAAGCCTCGTCGAGGTACTTCTCCCAGCAACGTGTCTCCATGTCCTTGAGTGCTTCTCTCTGGGCCACACTTCGAAAAATCTACTCAAGACGCAAGATACACGGATGAGAGTGCCACGTCGTCGCACGAATACGATTCAGGAGCATGCAATGCCGAACACACCTTACTCGATTGACCAGAAATCCGTGGTATGTTAACAGGTCAGGAGGTTGCACCAATGAAAGTCATGAAGTGCGTTCACGTTCACTGTATCTCAGCCTTGCGTCAAAGGCGAGACCTGAACAAAATGAAAGGACGCACGCGCATGGTCCCGTGAAGAAAATCAAGGTCACGATGAAGCACTAATTCATGTGGCTGACAATCTTGATAATCTCCGAGAGAATCGCTGGAGCACTGCTGATTCATACCGTGTGGCCCCAAACAGTAGCTGCGCCTGCCGCTGTTGGTCCATACCCTCACTCGTCATGCGACTGCGAAAACTCCGCAGCTAATCAAACCTGCCACCGTGCCCCCTGGCACGTTGAGGTGTAGTAGAGTGCCAGATGCTTTTACTTTCTATCAGGATTCTGCGCATCTTCTCAGGGACTGTCCCCCACCGCCCCCTCGACGCATCCAGACGCGTGCAGGGCCACCACCACCCCTGTCTCAGATAAAAAAACAATGGACCCGCGCTCCCGAGGCCACAATCCCGTGCACAAAATGATACATCTGCGCTCCTGAGGACACGATCTCTTGTGATTCGAATGGATCCGCACTCTCGAGGTCACGATCCATCATAGAAACACCATAGCGCTGCACTCCCGATGCCACGCCCCCCTCGTACATGCTTATGGGTCCGCGCTCCAGAGGCCACGATGCCCCGTTGAAAACACTTAATGTGTGCGCCCACAGGCTTCCAAGACTGACTACCTACCAGACCACCCCAACCCAACCCGAAGACCCGAATTTGACCCGAATTTCGGGTTGGGGGGGGTACGGGTTCCTTGTGTTTTTTCAATGTTCCCCGACCCCCCCCCCCACTGGAAATCGAGGATAAATGTGGGCCTTCGGGTTGGGTTGGGGTGGTTTGGTGGGTGGTGAAAGACGGCCGAGGCAGACAACAAAGGCCGCCAAGATAGTCCCACCTCCAAGACGGCCCAGGATGGCTCCAGGGCGGCCTCAGCTGGCCTCAGGACGGCCCAAGAGGCCACCAAGACGGCCCGAGAGGACCACACAACAGATCCCCAGCAGGGCCTGGAGAGGCCACAGTCGTTGATTCCCCCATGCTGTTTCACAGATTTGAGCGGATTCACCTTTGCGGACTTCATTCAGCTCCAGACGGCCCTAGAGTAAAGTCGGGCGTGTCCCCCTACAGGGGGATTCTCGACGAAAAATTAAACATACTCCCAAAATACCCCCACAAGGTTAAAAAATATTTTAGAAATAGTCCCCCGGCTATTTTTGGACTATTTGTTGATTATTTTGGAGGGTATTTTTTATTTTTCGTCGAAATCCCCCCTGTAGGGGGGCAGGCCCGACTCAACCCTAGAGGCCTCAAAGAGGGCCTCAAAGCCGCGTCCGCGCGCCCGGGGCCAGGCTGCCTCGCAGACGGCGCCGCGTCCAGGGGCTCCCGGGGCCCCGAGCCCTCGTAAATGACACTGCGCCGGTGCGCCCCAGGACCAGGATATGATCGAAGGGGCCCCAGGACACACAAAGAAATGCACACAAATAAAAAGATGCCCCATATTTCCAAATATTTCCTGGGTTTCTGTTTTCCCCACATATTTTCTGGATGTTTGTCTTCCCCAGGGCACAAAAACAAATACACACAAATGAAAACATGCCCCGTATTTCCCTGTATGTTCTGGGTTTTTTGTCTTCCCCCCACTTCCCAGATTTTCCCATCTTTTCCTGGGGGTCGACGATTAATTGTGTCTGTGTTTTTTCCCCTCCTGAATAATATGCAAATCCGCCGACCCTGTCGGCGTGTGGAAGAGGCTGTTCCGTTTGGCTCGTTTTCGTCGACGTCGTCGTCGTCGTCGTCGTCGCTGTCGCCGTCGCCGTCGCCGTCGCCCTCTCTTTCCCTGGGCCCGTCGCCGCCCCCCCCCTTTTCCTGGGCCCTCCTCCTCAAGCGCGCCGGACAAAACAGAATTGAGCAACGTAGCAATTGAGTCGAGGAGAAGCCCCTTCCCTTTGATCCCTTCCCCGCCGGGGGGGGGGGTCCCAGGGGTGGGGTCCCAGTGGGGGGGTCCCAGGGCGGTCGCGGGGGGTCCCGGGTCAGGGGCACGGAACCAACAAGTCCCAAGACGAGCCAAGAGTGCCCCAAGAGGCCCCCAAGACGGTCCAAGAGGACCCCGAATCGCCGAACGGTCGGTTCAAGACGTCTCTGCGGCCTCCAGACGGCTCAAAGAGGGCCCGAAGACGGCCCAAGAGGCCCCCAAGAGGGCTCCAAGAGGGTGCCCAGACAGAGGAACCAAACGGACATTTCGAACCCTCGGCCCTGAGAGGCTCCCAGGAGGCCCCAAGAGGCCCCCAAAGAGGCCCCCAAGCTCCAAGAGGCCCCCAAGAGGACCCCAGGAAGCCCCAAGAGGCTCCCAAGAGGCTCCCAAGAGGCCTCTAAGATGCTCCCAAGAGGCCCCAAAAACTGCCCCCCAGCCTCCGAGAGCGGTCTGAAGACACCCCAAACAGAATCCCTAAGGGCTCTGACCCACGATAGCGCCGTCGTCGTCGTCGTCGTCCCCCTTCAGGGTCGGCGGCACCAGCCGTAAGACCTTCGAAATCTGACTGCGTCCGCGTTCCCAGGGCCACGTTCCCTAATAAATTACGCTGCGCCCGCGCTCCCAAGTCGAGGACCTATAACAAATTACACTGCGTCCGCGTTCCCAGGGCAACGATGCAAGAATCAGAGTGAGGGGGACAAACGGTCTTAGTCGTATACCATCCCTGGGCGCGCGGGTGAAAGAGGATTCCGTGACCCGGACGTATGCTTGTTTGTTGCCAGTTGTTTGCTGGTTGTTGCTTGAGCTCTCACTTCTGACGAAGAACTACTGCTGATCCCCCTCTGGTTCAGGGGGACGTAAGACCTGGGTACAGGGGACTCGGAAATTCCCGACGAGGTCGTCAAAAAAATGACGAGGCCGAGCCTGCATTTTGACGAGGCCTCCCGCTGCAGACATCCCACGAAACTCCTCCTCGTCAAAATCCGAGGCGCGGTCGTCAAAAAACGATGGCGAACCCGAGTCCTGGCAAACCCGGGTCTTACGCTCCCCCCTCTGGTGTCCACTGTATGCATCCTCGAGTTAAGGTGCCCCTCCCGGGGCTCGCACCCTGCTCTCAAGGGAACAGCTTGGGGCTCAGGCTGGGCCCCTTGGCAGCCGAACTACAACAACGGCTCCCGCCTGACATGGGACGCACAGAGATATACTAATACGATGTGTCCTCCTTGGAGAAGCGCGTCCGACCCGAACATATAGTATACCCATCTTGTAGTATATCGTTTCCCGAGCGGTGTGGCCAGAAAACGCCCGCCACGACGCATATACTATAAGGTTTCTCGGTGCGCGCGTCGCCCCTGATGGGGCGACGCACATATAGTATAAGTATGTTGGGGTGATGCCGATGACACTTCCTCACAGTGTATCCAGATGTCGGGCTTTCGCTAAAGAGACCTCCTTGCGGCTTGCCCATGAGTCGCGCCCTCGCGTGGGACTTCCACACGCAGTGCCTCGACAAACAAAAAACACACACACAGAGAAATCACGCTCTCGCCCTGGCCTTCCCCGCGCCCTACTTGGGAATCAGGACTGACTCTTCAGCGACCCGACCCAGCCGCCCGGGCCCGCCCGCCCGACCCGCCTGTTAGGGGCCGCCCGCCCTAACCGCCCGGCTGGTTCTGCCGTTGTTTTTCCTGCTCCTGCCCCCGCCCTGCTAATGCCTCTCGTGTTACATGTTTCTCTCTCCCGCTCGCCCCTTCCCTCCTCCTTCCCTTCCCCCTGATTGAGGGGCTGCGCCAACTACATGTGGTAGGTAAGGAAGATATACCCCCATTCTGGGCACGATCGAAGACAAGGAGGGCGAGTATCGAGGATTTGGCATGTACATGTTAATTGACACGCGAGCAGATGAGAGCGAACAGTCTTAAAATTATTGTATGTCTTGTTGTCGTCGTCCACCAGCGCCCCACCAGCGACCCACCCTCGCGCGACCCAACCCGCGACCCACCCCGCAACCCACCCCGCGACCCACCCCGCGACCCACCGCGACCCACCCGTGGGTCCCACCCCGCGCTCGCCCCCCCCTCTCTTATCCACACTTGCGGGGTGCTAAATAAGATACGCTGCATCCACGCTCCCAGGGCCACGATCCCTCGCACATTACGCAGGACACCCGCTCCCATGGCATCCAGGGGCGCCCAGGGGCTTTCTGGACATTCTGGGGCCTCCGAATCGCGCTATTTGCAAAAAATCATGAGCGCGGGGCGCGCCATCCTCGGGAGGACACGCACAAAACCACCTTTTCATTACATTTCTTACAAATTTCACCCCACCCCCATCACGAGGATTCTGCTCAAAACGCTCCGCACCGTCTCTGACCAGGGGAAGCGGGTCTGCGGACCCCGTTCTTGCTCGAGGAGCTGATATGGGGATGCATTTCCCTCGAGCGGGCACGCGCGCGAAATCTACTTTTCCAGATAAAAAACAACCTTTACCAGTTCTTCTGGAGCGAGAATTCGCCGGCCCCCTTCGGTCGAGGGGCCGGGGACAGAGCTACGCCTAAGAGAGAACACTGGGCTGGGCCCCCGCGCCTTCCGGGAAGCACCACGGATCCGCGCTCGCGAGGCAACGATCCGCGCTCCCCAGGCCACGGTCCCTGGCAAAAAACAGGATCGGCCGACGAACCGGGAAGGGAATGTAGCAATGTGAGGCACGGCTTCGTTTTCAAGACACCTGCTTCAGCGACGGGCCACTGCAATGCTGAACGTATCGATCGTGATGCACCGTGCCAAGAGCTGTGCTGCGCCGTGCCGTGCTGAATTGAGGTGCGCCATGCTGCGGTTGTGCAGTCT